AGCATATGTTGTTCTAGAACCTGAACATAGTTCTCTGCATTAATGGTGCCTTTCCAGACATGCAAGCTGCCCATGCCACAAGCGCTCATGCAACCCCATACCATCAGTGATGCAGGCTTCTGAACGGAGCGTTGATAACAACTTGGGCTATCCTTGTCCTCTCTGGTCCGGATGACATGGCGTCCCAGTGTTCCATAAAGAACTTCAAATCGTGACTCATCTGACCACAGAACACTCTTCCATTTTGCCACACTCCATTTTAAATGACCCCTGGCCCAGTGCAAACGTCTGAGCTTGTAGAACTTGCTTAGAAATGGCTTCCTCTTTGCACTGTAGAGTTTCAGTTGGCAACGGCGGATGGCACGGTGGATTGTGTTCACTGACAATGCTTTCTGGAAGTATTCCTGAGCCCATTCTGTTATTTCCTTGACAGTGGCGTTCCTGTTTGAGGTGCAGTGACGTTTAAGGGCCCGGAGATCACGAGCATCCAGTAGAGTTTTACGGCCTTGACCCTTACGCACAGTGATTGTTCCAGATTCTCTGAATCTTTTGACGATGTTGTGCACGGTTGATGATAACTTAAAAGTTTTTGCTATTTTACGCTGGGTAACACCATTCTGGTATTGCTGCACTATCTTTCTGCGCAACAATGGTGGAATTGGTGATCCTCTTACCATCTTGGCTTCTGAGAGACACTAATACTCTGAGAAGCTCTTTTTATACCCAATCATGTTGTCAATTGACCCAATTAGTGTTAATTGGTCTTCCAGCTGTTCGTTATATGCTCAATTTCCATTTTCTAGCCACTTATTGCTACTTGTCCCAACTTTTTTGGGATTTGTTGACACTGAAATTTTGAATCAACATATTTTTCCTTTAAAATGTTACATTTACTCTGATTAAACTTTTGATATGTCACCTATCTTATATTAGGAATAAAATATTGACATTTGCCATCTCCACATCAATGCATTCAGTTTTTATTCACAATTTGTTTAGTGTCCCAACTTTTTTGGAATCCAGTTTGTACAAAGAGACTCTCAAACATTGAGGGTGTAGCCTTGGATAGTTTGGTGAACATGTGTGAACTGTTTACTAAAATTGTTACCACAGGTCAACAAAAACTTACCGTGAGCATCTAAAAGTAAAATATAAATGGTAACATACTACAAATAGTAGATGAGAAAGACTATGGGAGCACACAGGAACTGGTTTATGTCTTGTGAGTGTTATTTTTACAAACAGCTGAAACTGAAGCAGAGTTCTTTATTAACTAATTCACAGACAAAGAGAAAGACTTAATTCTGTTATCAGTAAGTTCATCTTTGTTCCTATATGAGGAACATCACAGTACATTCTTTGCTAAAGCAATACCTGAAATCTGTGTATTTGTATTTAAAGAGAGTCCCAGGTTATACCAGGTGGTCCAAATGAGATGCGAGGCAAAAATAACTTCATAATGCGATCAAACAATATTAAAGAGAAACTCAGGAGGATAATCGTTTATCATCAATAAATACAAACTTGTGCACATTCAAACTCAGTTTCACACAGAAAAATTAAAATATTTCAGTGAGAACAAACAGAAAACCTGCAGCTACGATGTGCCATGTCGCTTCTTAGTCCCGTCTCTGAATTGTGGGTCAACACGGCTCCTGAACCGTGCAGGAGTTTAAACATTCTATAGGAGCTCCTCAGACAGCAGAGGGCAAGGAGAAGGAGGTGGAGGTGTGGAAGGAGGTGAAGGGAACAGGGTTGGGTGGATGGAAGGAGGCAACGGGGGTTCTGGTTTGGTCGGAGACGAGAGTGGGAAGAAGACAACGGGTTGGAAGGGGGAGACGGGGGAGGGGGTAGCAGGATTTGTGTCCAGTTTTTTAGGAAATGGTGGGGAGGGACCAGAAGATAAGCAGGGAGCTGCTAAAAGTGGCAACGAGGGGCTTCGTTGTTCGGAAGGTGAAGAAATGGGCGACGTGTGAGAAGTGGGTGAAAACTGCAGCGAGCACGGTGGATCAGAGGGAGGAGGATCAAGCCCAGCGGCTAACGTGGGTTTAGATGCAGTTTCTGTCGCAGCAGGGATGGACGCCTCAGAAGAGACGCTCGCAGCTAAAAACGCTGACCGAGCAGATTCTGATGCAGGTTCTGTCGGAGAAGCTGATGGGACTTGGACTGGTGGTCCTGAACAACGGGTGGCCAGTTGGAGGGTCTCCTTATCTAGTGCTGTGTTCTGACAAAAGAACAAACACAACGTCAGCTCAGCGAACACCAGTCAAAAAAGGCACTGAGCAGCTTGAGCAGTGAGCACCACCACTTCATGAGGCGTCTCTAAACAAACATAATAAATGAAAAATAAAAACAACGGCACAAAAAATGTGACTGGAAATGATCTGACATTTATGCATAAAATAGGGCAAATAAAGTATTTAATTCAATATCTATTATTTTCTAAAAGCACATAATGTGTTGTGGGTCAATAACAACAGTTACTGTCTTCTTTTACTCTCGTTGAACCATTAGCAGAACAGATGAGGCTGCGTCGTACATGTTGGTACGTACCGTTGTCCCTGAGCTAATTCAGAATGCAGGAAGAGAAAAAGCAGATGGGGGGAAAAAAAGAGGTGGAGACAGAGACCAGTCTTACTCCCAGTTTCACAACATGTATGAGAACAATAAGACATGTTTTGTTTCAGCTCAGAGCTCGTCCAATTAGAGCTTCAAATCCAAACCAGTAGATGCTGGGACTCTGGAGAGTCTTAGTTGGAGCAAAGTGACACATTCAGGTTTAGCTTTGGATCCATAATGTGTGCAATCCCTGCCATTGTTATGCATTTTCTTGTATTCTATTTTAAGATCTAAATGTCAGTATTTTGAAACTAATTGATTAAATGGTTTAGTCTGCTGGAGTTTTACTTTGAACCAGGGGCGATTCTAGAACCTGCCCTTTAGGGGGGCTTAGTCCACAGTGCTGACAATGGCTCTTGGCTTGAATAACACATAAGCTATTTTTACATGAGCAACATTTTTTGACCGTATTGAAATGTTTTCAGATTAGATAATTCAAATGTATTGTTTACATGGGCACTATCTGTTCATGACGAGCGTTTACATGCAGCGGGCTTTGTTCTGAACAGCAGCACTGACATGCGCAGAGTGGTAAACTTTCCTTAAAAAAAAACATCGAAGAAGAAGTTCTACTTCCGGGGTGAACATACGTAAACAAACCTGAGCACCCAAAATGGACCCGCGACAGGTTTTAATGATGGTGGAGACGCTACTGCACTCCCTGACTGAGCTACAGGTAATACAGATCATTTTGAGCTCTTTCAAAGTTTCTAGTAGAAATGTTGCGTCGCTCACCGACCAGTTTTGCTCCCCAGACATGCTAATATTATTAGCATTAGCCAGGCGGAAATGGCAAAGTCGCACATGTGCAGTCAGGTCAGTTTTTTACGATCAGATAAAAATGAACAGATCAAGGTTTACATGCGCACCGATCGGGTTACAGATCGGCGTAAACCACCTGTTTCGTTCTGATCACAAATTATATCGGATCGTGCCGAATACACAAAAAATAACCCAAACAGAGTGTTTACATGACATAATTTTATTCCGACCGGCCATTTGATCCGGTTACTTATGTCCATGTAAACATACCTATTGGTGGTTGTTCATCCCTGATCAGGCCTTTTCAAGTTTTATTGCCAAAAGGCAAGCGATCTCTTCCTCCGTTGATGCCATGACTGAAATGGTGAGAAATTAAGGAATTTGTCAAGAGCAAATTAAAATCGGGTCCAGCGTGGCTGCAGGAGGGTCTGGAGATGTCCTGGTGGGCTGCTCTGATGTGTGGGCTGCAGGGCCAGCGCTCCCTGTTTTTTTTTATTTTATTTTATTTTTTTACTTTTTATTAACAACATATAAACAAAGAACACCGCTGCGGCTGGGGCTGCCAGCTGTTTTTTTTTTCCTTCTTCCGACCTGTCAATCAATCCAGTAGGCGTGTCAGCAAATGACCAATCGGCGACCTCAATTTGTCCCGTAGGTCAACGCCCCTTTTCTGCAAAGCTGCTCTGCAGCCACTCAGGATGAACGCTCAAGCATGAAGTCTCAACCCTCTGGAGACTGTGCGCACAGTTTCCTCGCGGCTGACAGGACGCACGAGTATACTGGAGCCTTAAGTCGCATCTATTACGCATCACCACTGACGTCGTGTTTGTTACACATTACTGCTGACAACTCGGAAATGTGGGCCTATGTGCCAAAAATTGGTTTTCTGCCAAATGGCAGCTACAGGAGCGTTCACAGGAGGACTTTAACAAGATTTTAACAAAATTAACACTTACAAACAATTGTTTGTTTGCTCGAAATTATAGCAAAGGTGTGTCTCGACCTAGCTTTTCCTTAATAGATGCACTTTGACGGTCAAATCGGTCAAAATTGAGGTCACAGATTGGTCATTTGCTCACGAGCCTTCTGGACTGATTGACAAGTGGCGTCGAGGATCAGACTCGTGCAAAATAAATCAGATGTTACTGACCCATTTAAGAGTCATCATTTATTCCACATTTATTTAATATTTTGGTTTATCTAAGGTTTAAGAACTACGCTTCCTTATAAAATCCTAATGATGGTTTCCTAATTTTTCAGGGGTATTTGAGCACCCCCAAAAAGAAGCTAAAATCGCCACTGCTTTGATCATCAATTCTTAAGTTGGGCAACTTTTCATCCATCGTGTGCTTTCTCATGAGACAATTATCAATCCTCTATAAAATATTTCAACCTTCAAATATTTCCTGGATGTCCAGTCTGAACAGTTTTTCAAATATTAATAGAAATATACAAGCCAAAACGGTAAATAAAGAATAAAGAACAGTTGTTTAAAAGTTTGAGAACAGGAACAAACAAGTTCTTCAGGTTATATATATATATATATATATATATATATATATATATATATATATATTTGGCTATGCAAAAGCAGGTGCAAGAGCAGTAAACCATGATGGTTCCTCCACCATGCTTCACACATAAAAGTACCATTTTAGTATCTTTGTGCGTTTTTATCCTTTCTGCCGCATTTGTTAAGAGGTCAGTAAAACATTCAAAGTCTTCGTTTACTCTGAATGGACTCTTTGCCCAGAGAATCTTGGGAGATTTGTTTTCATTGTTTGCAAACTCTGTTTTTGTTTCAAATCCATATAAATGTTCAGAGATGTGTTTGAGTCTTTTGGTTCCTGCTTCAAAAACCATTTGTAATGTCTATTATAATCTAATTTGCCTTATTGGAAGTGCTGACTCTATGAAGTTTGTTCTGTAAATCTGATTACAGTGATTTAAATTAAAATATATTGTTGTCGTTGGGTTTTTAGAGAAGGCCAAATCACATATTTTGCATAATCAAAGTAAAATCCTTAAAGGTTTACATTTTTATGCAGCTGGAAATTATTTATATTTTGTCCGATTAAAAATAAATAAATTAAAAGCTTATCTATACTTATCTACAGAAAATAATCATGTTTAATAAGCTGGTTGGTTCTTTGCTGAGTTTTTTTTTTTTAACAAGTAAAACAGAACAATGAAAATGTGATGATAAACATTCAGAGGCAACTTTGCCTCCATCTGCAATTTATTTTTTAAATCCTGTGCAGTTCTTTATATCACCACTAGGGGGCAACAAAAGGATAAAATACAAAAAGAAAAAGTTTCAATGTGATTTGACAACAAAAGGGGTAAAAAGAGGAGGAGGCAAATCACACCAAACTTTCTTTAGAAACATGCTTTGACCTCATGACATTAGTAAACAAGAAAACTTAAAAAAAAAAAAAAAAGACCTCGTTCATTAAATGCTTGGGGTCAGTGCCGACTGGGTTAAATGGAAGTAAAGGAGACGAGCGATGAGCATCAAGTCAAATAAATCTGGCACAAATTGTTAATATGAGACAATACTAAGTTTGCTGCAAAGGAACAAGAGAGGAGGGTAGGGAAGAATGGGAGGAGAAGGAGATGAGCGAGGGGATGAGGGGAAGGGTGATGGCTGCAGAGGCAGACCACAGTTAGTAGACGGAGGAGGAGGAAGGGGTGTGAAACATGTACCAGGCTCTCAGCTCCAGGCATCCCCTGTGGTCCTGGGTCAGGTGTGAAGGAAGGGCGTGAGGAAGAGAAGGATGGATGGATGAGGGATGAAGCTGAAATCATTTACACCTCAAACTGTCAAATGAGATTAAGAAGAAAATAGGTCAACAAAAACTTTTAAATGACGCCGATGCTTCTTGCAGCGCCGCCCTAACTTCACATCAGACAAACAGAAGAGCGTGCACGAGCCTGAAGGAGTGATGAGACCTGATGAGGTGAAGAAAAAGGAAAAGACGTCAGGAAAATACATGTGCTGGTCATAAAATTAGAATATCATGAAAAAGTTTATTTATTTCAGTAATTCCATTAAAAAAGTGAAACTTGTATATTATATTCATTCATTACACACAGACTGATATATTTCAAATGTTTGTTTCTTTTAATATTGATGATTATAACTGACAACTAATGAAACCCCCAAATTCAGTATCTCAGAAAATTAGAATATTACTTAAGACCAATAAAAAACAGGATTTTTAGAAATAATGTTGGCAAACTGAAAAGTATGAACATGAAAAGTATGAGCATGTACAGCATCAGTACTTAGTTGGAGCTCCTTTTGCCTGGATTACTGCAGCAATGCAGCGTGGCATGGAGTCATCAGTCTGTGTCACTGCTCAGGTGTTATGAGAGCTTCTGAATTGTTGGGTCTGGTGTATCACATCTTCCTCTTCACAATAACCCATATATTTTCTATGGGGTTAAGGTCAGGTGAGTTTGCTGGCCAATTAAGAACAGTGATACCATGGTCCTTAAACCAGGTACTGGTAGCTTTGGCACTGTGTGCAGGTGCCAAGTCCTGTTGGAAAATGAAATCTGCATCTCCATAAAGTTGGTCAGCAGCAGGAAGCATGAAGTGCTCTAAAACTTCCTGGTTGATGGCTGCGTTGACCTTGGACCTCAGAAAACACAGTGGACCAACACCAGTAGATGACATGGCACCCCAAACCATTACTGAATGTGAAAACTTGACACTGGACCTCAAGCAACGTGGATTCTGTGCCTCTCCTCTCTTCCTCCAGACTCTGGGACCTTGATTTCCAAAGGAAATACAAAACTTATTTTCATCAGAGAACACTGAAGAGACCACTCAGCAGCAGTCCCAGGCGAGAAGCTTCTGACACTGTCTCTTGTTCAAGAGTGGCTTGACACAAGGAATATGACAGCTGAAACTTGTGTCTTGCATACAACTGTGAGTGGTGGTTCTTAAAACACAGACTTCAGCTGCAGTCCACTCTTTGTGAATCTCCCCCACATTTTGGAATGGGTTTTTTCACAATCCTCTCCAGGGTGCGGTTATCCTATTGCTTGTACACTTTTTTTCTACCACAACTTTTCCTTCCAAAAAAGTTAAATCTGGTCCTCTGGACATTCAAAAAAACAAACAAAAAAAACAAAGCAAATCAACAAAAAAATGTAGAAACGTTTCGTCTCTCATCCGTCTCTCAACTGTCCCCCTCTTACAATGCTGTGATTGCTAGTATCACTCAGCCCTCTGTGAACAGTAAACAGCCATCAGTGTGCTAATGATCCATTGTTAGGCTGATGGTCCTTCTTGAGCATGTGATCAGCTGGTTTTGGTTGTCAGCAGCAAAACTGGTTGATCCACTCTGAGATGGTGCTATTTAAGAGACTGAGCTGAATACAGCTCCTCAGACTGAGGAAGTCTCTCGGATGAGAGACGAAACGTTTCTAAATTTTTTTGTTGATTTGCTTTGTTTGTTTTTTTTTTGTTTGTTTGTTTTTTTGAATGTCCAGAGGACCAGATTTAACTTTTTTAGATTTTTCTACCTGGATTATTGAGCATGCATCAGGAAACTTTTCCTTCCCTTCACCTCTCTATTAATGTGCTTGGACACAGAGCTCTGTGAACAGCCAGCCTCTTTAGCAATGACCTTTTGTGTCTTGTCCTCCTTGTGAAAGGTGTCAATGGTTGTCTTTTGGACAAATGTCAAGTCAGCAGTCTTCCCCATGATTGTGTAGCCTACAGAACTAGACTGAGACCATTTAAAGGCCTTTGCAGGTGTTTGGAGTTAATTAGCTGATTAGAGTGTGGCACCAGGTGTCTTCAATATTGAACCTTGCCACAATATTCTAATTTTCTGAGATACTGAATTTGGGGATTTCATTAGTTGTCAGTTATAATCATCAACATTAAAATAAATAAATATTTCAAATATATCTGTGTGTAGTGAATTAATATAAAATACAAACCGGATTCCAAAAAAGTTGGGACACTAAACAAATTGTGAATAAAAACTGAATGCAATGATGTGGAGATGACAAATGTCAATATTTTATTCGTAATATAACAGATGACAGATCAAAAGTTTAATCTGAGTAAATGTAACATTTTAAAGGAAAAATATGTTGATTCAAATTTTCACAGTGTCAACAAATCCCAAAAAAGTTGGGACAAGTAGCAATAAGTGGCTGGAAAAAGAAAATTGAGCATATAACAAACAGCTGGAAGACCAATTAACACTAGTTAGGTCAATTGACAACATTAATGAGTATAAAAAGAACTTCTCAGAGTGTCAGTGTCTCTCAGAAGCCAAGATGGTAAGAGGATCACCAATTCCACCATTGTTGCGCAGAAAGATAGTGCAACAATACCAGAATGGTGTTACCCAGCGTAAAATAGCAAAGACTTTTAAGTTATCATCATCAATTGTGCATAATATCATCAAAAGATTCAGAGAATCTGGAACAATCGCTGTGCGTAAGGGTCAAGGCTGTAAAACTCTACTGGATGCTCGTGATCTCCGGGCCCTTAAACATTGCACCTCAAACAGGAATGCCACTGTCAAGGAAATAACAGAATGGGCTCAGGAATACTTCCAGAAAGCATCGTCAGTGAACACAATCCACCATGCCATCCGCCGTTGCCAACTGAAACTCTACAGTGCAAAGAGGAAGCCATTTCTAAGCAAGCTCCACAAGCTCAGACATTTGCACTGGGCCAGGGGTCATTTAAAATGGAGTGTGGCAAAATGGAAGAGTGTTCTGTGGTCAGATGAGTCATGATTTGAAGTTCTTTATGGAACACTGGGACGCCATGTCATCGCCATGAGCGCTTGTGGCATGGGCAGCTTGCATGTCTGGAAAGGTACCATTAATGCAGAGAACTATGTTCAGGTTCTAGAACAACATATGCTCCCATCTAGATGTCATCTCTTTCAGGGAAGACCCTGCATTTTTCAACACGATAATGCCAGACCACATTCTGCAGCAATCACAACATCATGGCTACGTAGGAGAAGGATCCGGGTACTGAAATGGCCAGCCTGCAGTCCAGATCTTTCACCTATAGAGAACATTTGGTGCATCATAAAGAGGAAGGTGTGACAAAGAAGGCCCAAGACGATTGAACAGTTAGAGGCCTGTATTAGACATGAATGGGAGAACATTCCTATTTCTAAACTTGAGAAACTGGTCTCCTCTGTCCCCAGACGTCTGTTGAGTGTTGTAAGAAGAAGGGGGGATGTCACACAGTGGTAAAAATGGACTTGTCCCAACTTTTTTGGGATTTGTTGACGCCAAGAAATTTGGAAACAACAGATTTTTCCCTTAAAATGATACATTCTCTCAGTTTAAACTTTTGATCAGTGATTTGTGTTCTATTCTGAATAAAATATTAGATGTTGGCACCTCCACATCATTGCATTCAGTTTTTATTCACAATTTGTTTAGTGTCCCAACTTTTTTGGAATCCGGTTTGTACAAGTTTCACTTGTTGAATGAAATTACTGAAATAAATCAACTTTTTCATGATATTCTAATTTTATGACCAGCACCTGTATGCTCACAGTCAAGAAGGAGGGATGATTTCTCAACTGTACGGTCACCAATTTAATCTATGCAGCATAAGTTTTATATTGTTGCTTTATTTTGGCTGATCCCGTCATTAGGGGTTGCCACAATAAACTAAATTTGAATGAAAAATTTGGCAACCGTTTTGCACTGGATGCACTTCATGACTCAACCTGCAGCCTCAGGGTTACAAGACCTCGGCACTAACCACCAAGCTGTACTTGGCATTAACATCTTTCTGGTGCTTCTCCCCTCAATGCATGAATGTCTTGGTCTTCAGATTGACCTTGTGAATTACAACAAGCACAATCTTATGGATTTGGGTCAGACATACACCCTTCTCCATCATCCTGCTCAGGCAGTTTGTCAATTCTGATTAAATTCAGGCCAGAACTTCAATACAGCTGAAAGATTCTGCACTAAGTATGACAGTAAATCTACAGATCTGAGCAAAGAAAATAATAATCTCAGCTGGTTACATGTTGGGCTGTGGAGGCTTCCAGGAGCTTACCACGATGACCGACACTCCAGCTGTGGTGCTGTTGTGCTTCGGTGCAGTGTTGAAATGCGTCTTCAGTTTACTTGTGACTTCTGACTTCATGTTGTTCATGACTGCATCGTCCTGTAGCCAGGTGTCGTTCCCAAACAGAAAAACTTATGTCAGTTCTCAAAAGCGCCATCACATTTAAACTCAAACACACAAACAAACGCTGTTTTAAAGTACCGTGACCCATGGGTGCAGGAGGATGTCCTGCGCCGTGTATCGAGCCTCAGCGTCAACCTGCAGCATATTTCCAATCAGCTCCTGCAAGAAAACACTGAATTAGTTTAGCCTAGCTTCATGAAGTCCTCACACACATCTTCAGGTTAAAGCAACAGCTTTCCAAATGGGTTCTGTCAAAGGTTATAAACAACTAATATCTTACCTGTTCTGGTTATCTGTTGTTTGAATAACCTAAATATGGAGAAATGGAGTTTAAGACCAGACTGACATGATAACAGCTGGTCTGAGTAGAGCCAAGACCAGAGAGGACTTCTGCCATCTTAAAACAACTGCACAACCATTATTTTGATTCATCTTTACATCTGGTGTCAAGTTCAACTACCAGGTTATTTGATTAAAATTTTATGGGATTTTTCAAACACACATGGCACTGACAGCTGCTGGCGTTAAAACTTCCAGTGCAGCTCAGGACACTGGAAATACAGCCAGTACAACTAATGTGAAATATTAGTGGAGTAAAGGATTATTGGGTGTTCGCTTTCATAAAAATATGATTTTTAATTATATTTTTTGACTGGAGTTGTTTAAAGACAGCAGGAATTCACTCTGGTCTCGAGCTAGCCACCAGCTAGTCCATTTATTAGAGCTCTTTGTTTCTCCAAACTGAGGTTGTTCAAACAACTGGCTGCAAAATTATTTATAATATTTCTACAGAACTTCACTTCAAAAGATCTGAACTATTTGTTTGTGTTTAAATGTTTTTTTTTTTATTCATAGAAATAAAGAAAGATGAGAAAAATGACTCTATGAACTTCCACTGCGCTGCCAGAGTTCTGCCCATCGTGGATCTGGGACTGTGCCATCAATTTGAAAGTCCCGCCTATACACCCTCCCAACTTGCTAACTGGCCGACAGGTTGTCAGTCATAGCATGAAACATGTTTCATGGAAAGTGAAACTTTTATCCACCTTATTCCTGGAGGTTCTACTGTATAAATGATTATGGTACAACTTCCTGTCAGACAGGAAGTAGCAATAAACACTGGTTAAGCATGGTAGTGGAGCACGGACCGTGGTTTGTTTGAAAGTAATTTGCATTCAGTTTAGCAGATAAAACTCTGTTTTTATTTTGTTTATATTTGATTAACAACCATAAAGTTTATTAAAATAGTTGTGCTGAGTTCAGGGACCTCTTGTGTTCACGGGTGCAGAATCACGAACACGGACCCAAAACAAAAAAAGGTGTTCCTGTGAAAAGCGGTACAGTTTCCATCTCCTACCTACAGATGAGTAATTTAGAAGAATGTGGCTAAAAGATGTGAACTTGAAGAGACCACCCAAAACGCTGTATGTGAGTTCATTTCACTTTGTTGACAAACAGCCGATGGGGGAAAACCTGCATCCTACTTTGTGTCTGGACTACAATAAACCACCAGAAGAGACGCCGGATCCTCAGAAAGATTGAAAACAGTGTGACAAGAATATCAGGTATGATTTCAAGTGTATGAAGCAGCATCATTGTATTTGTTCATCATCTATATTACGATTTTCTCTGCAATGAACCCAAGCTCAGTGATGGAGGACTTTAAGTGTTTGGCTGGGCTCTGTGTCTGCTTTAAGGTAAATAAGATTGTGTCCCACCTCTTAACAAAACACCACCGACCTTATTACTGTGTAGACAACAATACACCTCAGAGCTTTTCAGGTTGTTCATCACTTCACTGTCAGAAGAACAAGAGTCAGTGAAGTAGCTAAATATGCTAGTAGATGTAATGTGCAGCCACTTCTTCAGCTCTTCCTCCATCCCTCATCCTCAGTACGCAGCAGTATGATTATATTGTCCTGTTGCAGCTCTGACAGGTGGTGTTCCTACATGTTTAAATTAAACCTACAATGCTCGGAGAAACATTAGCTCGTACTGTTCGCACATAAACAAACGATGGTTCTGGTCCGCGCTGGAAGTTGCACCTACAATTTGGACAAGGCAATGTGGATAAATAAAAAAAAATAGTTAAAAAAATATGAAATGTAGATAAACCTTAAATAAGTAGTTGAGAGCAAAAGTATTTTTAAAATGCGTATTTGAGCAGAGAGCAAGAAGATTAAAAAAAACTTCACATATCCTTTCTCATGTGATGATTTTTTAAAGGCAGATAAATGTTCCTTTGGCTTACAAGGGCAGAACTTAAACATTATACTGCAGTCAGCCACTAGGGGGCAGTCTGCAGCTTGCAGGACGGGAAAAGACACCCTTAAGTAATGAGACTTATTACAGGTTCATTTAGTTAGAAACATGCCCACGTGTGTTTTTGTACAGCTCCCTGAGACGACTTCCGCTGTGACTCGTCGCTGTATAATTAAACTGAACTGAAGTGGCAATCGGTGCAGCTTCTAAAGTTACAGCACGGCACTTTAACAGTCCTTGTTTAAAAACAGCAGATCAACTAAATTGCACAAACACTGCATAAGTAGTTTGAACTATTAATGAACAGGTGTACAAATGTTTCCGTGTGGTCTAAAGAGAAAACCCAGCAGCTCTACCAGGATTTTTATATTGAGATTTAAGCAGCTGGTTCCATAAGTTCCCATGGGGTAAAATTAAGTCTGCACTGGATTCCAGTGACAGGACTATGAGAAGTAAAATGGATTTAATCAGCAGTTTGATCCCTCAGCAGACAGTAGCAGTTAAACGAGTGTAAACCACTGGTGTGCATGTTTGTACCATTTGAAAACCTGATGAGACTTTTTACAGTCACTAAATTTAGTTAACAGCGTTGGGTTCAAACTGCTTCAGTAATGGACAGGAGGTAAACAAAACGTGTTGTTTTTGAAAATAAGTATTTTCAAACCTTTGCTGAGTATGTAATGTTGTCCCAGTAAGGACTGGGGAAGTCGAGCTGCCCCAGAAGAATCTGATCAAACAGGTCCTCTTGCTTATTATTCTCACTAGAACAAAAGCAAACACAAAAAAAAAACAAATTTTTCTGCAAGAAGATTTCTCCCATGCAATGAAATCTATCGTACAACCGCTCAGAGTTCATCTTTTTAAATTATGTACGTGCAAAGTCACATTATGACAAATTTAAAAAAAATAATAAAGCTAACACAAATAGTAATCAAATAATTATGGTTTATTAGGAATTATCAGTTCAGAGTGACAGCTTCCTTGTTGCAGTGAATCAACAGCCTAACAAAACATGGAAGCAAAATTTTGAAGATCTAGAAAATATTTAAAGACCTGGAAAAGCTATTTTTATTATATTATATAATAATTATATAAAGTATTATATATGAACTGTAACTTGCATCCAAACAAAATATAACGTTAGGTGGCAAAACTTTAGCTCGTTGTTTTTGCACATTCACTCCTCTCTGTGCACTCCTACACTCAGCTGAGAGGAAACACACAAGATTCAAACTAAACATTTGAAGCGTCAAACACACCTCTTTTGGAAATACGTGTTGACTACAGCCATTTCCTGTGATTTCCTGTGAGGCTGTGATTATCGTACCCACAACTGCACCCTGTATTCACTGGTTAACTGGACATCATTAACGTCACGCAGACTCTCTCACTGGTACATTTTCATCTTTAAATCACTTCTTGTTCTGCTGCCTTCATACATCTCCTCCTACATGTCTCTGCGTGAGTGCAGCTACGGCGTGCACTCTCAGGACATTATTACCTGCAGTGTTCCCTCAATGAGGACTGAACTAGGCAAAAGGGCCTTCTCCTACTCCGCTCCTGTTTCCTGGAATATCTTACAAAAAGATTTGAAGCTCTCCACCTTGACCTCTCTAAGCGCCTTTAAGAATCTGTTGGACTCCTGGCAGGGACCAATGCAGACATGTTCCTGTTTTTAGTTTTCTACATTCGCCTTAGAATCTAGCTGTCTTTTTTGTTACCTTTTTTCTTTTAGCCATCCTATTTGTAAAAAAAATAAAAAAATAAAAAATAATAAAAACTCCAGTATGACTTTTTATAATTGTTTATTGTTGTCGCTGTTGTCCATTGTTGTCATCATTCTTTGTTGAAATCAGGTCTCTCTTGTAAATGAGTCCTCGAGGCTCAATGGGATTTACCTGTCTAAATGAAGGTTGAATGAAAAATTTCCATTATCTTGGCAAAATCCACCACCATCTGTCCTTCCAAGTTTCTTTCCTTGACACCAAACCTACCCATCACTTCCTCATCCCCTCTGTTTCCTTCACTAACATGTCCATTCAGGTCTGCTCTGATCACCACTCTCTCTTTCCAGAGAATACTCTCTATCACTTCATCCAGATCTTTCCAAAATGTATCTTTCTCCTCCACATCACATCCAACCTGTGGAGCATAACCACTGACAACATTTAGCATCTGACCTTCTACTTGTACCTTCAGACATTAACTAATCCTAATCTCTGTCATATACAGTGACTGGAGTTCTGTGTCATATACAGTGACTGGAGTTCTGTGTCATATACAGTGAGCAGTGGTCTGTGTCACATACAGTGACAAGTGACCAGTGGTCTGTGTCATATACAGTGACCAGTGAGCAGTGGTCTGTGTCATATACAGTGAGCAGTGACCAGTGGTCTGTGTCATATACAGTGACCAGTGACCAGTGGTCTGTGTCATATACAGTGACCAGTGGTCTGTGTC